AAGGAAAGCCAACCCAATCCCGGTTTCTTTTGACACTCGATTGGAAATGCTCATAACCAATAAGAATTCAAAGTCAGGAAAGCGCGCGTAAACGTGAATGACAAAGCCCAAATTTCTGTTAGTTTTCTGCAAAACCAAAGCAATCCTGGATTAGTTTCAACACTCAATAACAAACTGCCGTTTGATACTGTACCTCATTGCGTAACATAGCACTATTTATTACAGCCACGGAATATATGGGTTTGATGTTTACATCCCTAGAGCGTAATAGCGTCTTCATGGCATCAAGTGAGAGAGGTCTTGATACATCAATTGACAACTGCAGAAACGGTTTCATGATGACAGCATCGTCTTCTCAAAGGATGAGCGCCGTTGTCATTTTCATTCTTGGAGACTTTATTGATGATATCTGATTATTGTAATGATTATCACTGATCATCGTTATCATCACCACCAGTACTTAAGTTCTACTCTCTGCTATAGGCTATTTTAACATACTTACAAGTCACGATTTTTCATTCCAATGACACACTCTTTATGGAACTTGTGTGAGCATGGCATGATTCGACCATTGGTGAACACCTCCTGAAATAGCATGCAGAATGTAAGAGTCAGTAACAATCGGAATTTTTCATCATTAAGAGCTGTGTCTCTTGGGGCTTTTGAGGTCGTTTAAGATCTTTGCTACAAAGCGTAAATTCCTGGCTGTGTTTGAAGCAATTGAAAAGTAGGAAATATGATCTATAATTACCTCACGGCAGATGGGACACACTTCATGTCCTGAGTCCGGCCGACATGGATGTTTCCCCTCCAATCGCTTCTCCATGCAAACATTGCACACGTCGCAATGAAAGGATGTGTCCTTGTTAAAGCTGAAAAAAAGTTTCTTTTACATTAAATGATAGGTTTATCACTTCACTAACGTTATTCCAAGCCGGCCGATGTTTCTCCCAAAGAAAAAACCATTGGAATGTTCTTTGCAAAGGTAAAACAGACCAGTGTACAACGTATCTTTCAATCTATGTTACGTCTTTTTATGACCTTTTGGAAATTATTCAAAATGTTGTTGTGCAATGCAAAACTTTGCATCACTTCGCTCTCAGCAGCACTCGGAACAGATTTTGTTTGCCAGGCAGAGCAGCCTCAGTTTCACGAGCCGAAATTTGCTTGGCCTGGAGAAATTTTAAATGGCACTTAGAGAAATATTTAGAGGGCGTACAAGTTACCAGTAATTACAACGGCCTTTGTTGTATTCCCTTGAAACTATCTCCCTCAAGTTTAAAGAAAACAATACGTTCTAAAAAGGATTTTGACTCCGTATATAACTGGATGTTTTGAACTTATAACATACGGGGCAATGAACGTGTCAATAAGTCGTAGTATAATTCAATTCAGGGACCGCGCAGGGGGAGGAGCTGGGGGGGCTTTAGCCCCCCCACTTTTTTGCAAGAATAAAAATAAATTAAACAAAAAATAATTTAACAAAAAATTTTCCTTCACGCATTCTCCTTTAGCCCCCCCACTCCCTGCAATTGAAAAACAACTTACCGGCAGATTTCACACTTTTCACAATGGAAAGGGTTCTTGTCAACACCTATAAAGTGCTTACACTTTGGGCAGAAATATTTTGACAATTTTACGCCACAGCGTCTGCAGGTTTGACTTTCTTCGTTTATCTGAAATTGATTAGAATATCATCAGTCAGCGGGTGCTATGTTAAAAAGTGTGATTTTCTAACTTCAAAATGTTGCAAAGAAGTTGTCTTTGTGTAAGCTGAACGCATCCTGAAATAACGAGCAGAATAAAAAGTGTCAATAACACTCATGCAGAAAGGTACACGTATCCTCGTCTGCGTTTTTTTTATGTTACGTTTTTTAAGAGAAATCTCTCGACCAGTTTAACTAAACATTGCGTCACAAGCAATATTTGGAGCAATTTTTGTAGAGGCATGACTTAAACAGCTGCCCATTGGAGTCAAGTTCTCTTGTTTCAACTAAGTTACGAAAATAAACCAGCCGACCGGGTTTTCATAGTTTTGTTCCTCTAAGCAACTTTGGTACGAGTAGGTTCCAAGTATGCAAGACATGCTCACCTCTTCTTCGAGTCCACAATTGCCGCACTTAACATGTGTCGCATCATGTGCCTTCCTATCATCAGCAGAGCATGTCCCCGATAAATTGTGACAGTGTTGGCACGGATAAAACACTCCGCAACATGGAAACTTGACACGACATCTCCTTTGGTAATGCTCACACTGCCAGGGTGGAGTCTCCTGAAGTGGAAGGTTCTCTTCTGCGGTTCTGTCTTCTCTTACTCTTGTTTCCCTTTCTCTTCGCTCTTTCAATTCTCTTTCCATTCCCTCTCTATTTCCTCTCTCTTCTCTTTCTCTCATTTCTCTCTGTTCTCTCTGTGCATACTCTATCATCAACCTGCTTCTTTCTGGAACCGGTGAGCGGGGGAGGCTCGAAAGTGAGGATGAGCTGCTATTGCTGGTAATAAGACGTTGGGTCCAGTCGTTTGAATCCCTGTTGCTCACTGACATTCTGTACGATTGCAATAGCACGCTCCCTGTGAACTT